CCTATCCGATAAAATTGACCTCAGAATAACCCTAAAAACCCCAGATGACCTTGACAATGCCGTACACCTTTTCACCACCACTATCCAACAAGCAATCTGGACTGCTTCCTCTCCAAACCACTCCTCAAGAACTCCCAAGAAAAATAAGTTACCTCAACACCTCATAGACCTAATCCATACCAAACGTCGCGCCAGATTATTATGGCAACGTACTAGACACCCCATCGATCATCGTTCCTATAATTTTTACAGTAAACAATTAAAGCAGGAATTGGCCACCTTCAAATCCCAATCCTTCAACTCCTACCTTACTTCCCTCTCTGTTCATGACAATTCCCTATGGAAAATCACCAAAAAAATCCTAAAATCCCATCATATTTCCCATCCCCTCCGTCGAAGCGATGGCTCCTGGGCAGCGTCTGATGAAGATAAAGCTGAGGAATTCGCCAGACACCTCTCCAGAACATTTACCTCTCATCCGGAATCCAACCTCACCCATACCACAACAGTAGAAGAATTCCTTACATCTCCCATTCCACTTTCCTTGCCACCTAAAGCAGTTAATCCTTCTGAGGTCAAACATCACTTACAAAAACTTCCTCTCCGTAAATCTCCTGGATACGACCTCCTTACCTCTCAAATCCTTCGACAACTTCCTCCTAAAGCTGTTATATTTCTCACCTACTTATATAATGCCATCCTAAGAACCACCCACTTTCCTCTCTTGTGGAAACATTCCACTATTATCCTGTTTCCGAAACCAGGCAAACCTCCCAACATCTCAACGTCTTACAGACCAATTAGCCTACTTCCGATTCTCTCAAAAATCTTTGAAAAGATCCTCCTGAAACGAATCCTACCCTTTATAGAATCCCAAAATTTTCCTTCACATCAGTACGGATTCCGTTCACAACACTCCACAGTCCAACAAGGACTCCGAGTGGTCGATCATATTTCCGCAGCATTGGAAAGCAAGCAATATTGCTCGGGTGCATTTCTGGACATAGCTCAAGCTTTTGACCGGGTATGGCACGCCGGGCTTCTTTCCAAGCTGAAAACCTATCTTCCTCAGTCCTTGTACCTTGTCCTCCGTTCCTACCTCTCAGATCGTACCTTCCGAGTTCGCTGCGGTAGTGAATTATCGAATTGCTATCCAATTGAGGCAGGTGTTTCTCAAGGTAGCGTATTGGGTCCCGTCCTTTACATCCTCTTTACCGCTGATATCCCTGTCCATCCCGATACCTTCCTGGCAACTTTTGCTGATGACACCGCCATTCTATCATCCGACTCAGATCCTGATATAGCATCCTTAAACCTTCAAAGACATCTCTCCCTGATTGAACACTGGTGTAATAAATGGCGAATTAAAGTAAACGAATCCAAATGCCAACACATCACCTTCACGCTCCGACGCAGTTCCTGTCCACCAGTACACTTTAATTCCATTCAGCTTCCTTTCTCGGACACAGTCCGGTACCTTGGCTTTCTCTTAGACAGACGACTAACGTGGAACCCTCATACTAGACTTAAAAGACAGGAACTAAACCGACGATACGGACAACTATACCGGCTACTAAACAGAAAATCAAAACTTTCCATTGAAAACAAGTTACTGATCTACAAGACAATACTGAAACCTATCTGGACTTACGGACTTGAACTGTGGGGAACAGCAAAATTTACTAACATCAAACGCATCCAATCCTTCCAATCAAAAGTCCTTCGAACAATAGCCAATGCTCCTTTCTATGTAACCAACAAAACCCTACACCATGACCTTAATATCCCATTTGTCCTAGACCTTATCCCAGCAAAATTCTCCAAATTCCACCAGAACCTTACCCATCATCCAAATCCCTTTGCAAAATCTCTATCCAGCACCACCCATCCATATAATCCTCCAAGGAGGTTAAAACGGCAGTGGCCCCGCGATCTTTTATAGTTTGTAAATATTGGGGTTCTGGCAATGACCAGATTCTCCACTCACGACATGAGTGTATGTGGCTAAAGCACTCTTGCTCAATCTCCACTGGGTTTAGCCCTAGTGACGCGGTTGAGAGAGGAGTGCAGGGAACTCCTGGAGTCATACTTTTCCCTCCACAGTTGGAGGGACAAGTCTGGCTTGGAGTTCTCTCGCCAAGTTGTAAATATTGTATGTAGGTGTGCATGTGTTCTTTTTATTTATTTATTTTTAGGTTATTTTATTCTTGTTTATTGTATATATATTATTTTTCTGTATAATTTATTTTATTTACTGTATATAGTGTGTGAATGTGATCTGTGAACACTATTATTAATGTCCCTGAGACAGATTGTAATATATTTCAATAAATAAGCTATTAAAAAAAAAAAATTGTGTTACTACTTCAAGTTTAGAAGAATTTAAGTGTGCAAGCTTTAGGTAGAAACTTTATGTATGTGGATTGAAATCTTCAAAAATTCTTTACCTTTATTTGGAGAAATCTTATTTATTTATATTTTTAAAATTTGTGATTGTGTTTATTTCAATTTTTTAAATTTTAAATAATTTTCCTTTTGAAGTCTTTACATTGTTATGATGTGTGTAATATGATGTATTTTCTGTTAGTGGGTAGTTTTATTTTTCTCAACTTTGCCTGATGAATTCTTTACCAATGACTTTGAGTTTTGGTTTTCTTTAGGGAATTGTGTTCAATTGTCACGGTAAATCAATTAATTTTTTTATTCCATGGATAATTGTGAAAAAAAAATAACATAATACCAATTCCAGTTATTGCTTTTACTTCAAATTGAACCAAAATATGCAATAAGGAACATGCTGCAAAATCAAAGAAAGAGGAGCTGGACCAACTATTCACAATACAAGAACTCAACAACACTCAGTTGCCTGAAACAGTAGAGTACGCCAGAAGTTGACAGTATCCTCAATAAGTTTCTCATCAATCTGGGACTTCGAGCCAAGAGGTGTCTTCTCAAGCTCTACAAAACTAGCTGTAAGATAGGAAAAGTACCTGAAACCTGGAAGGAAGGAATGATTATCCCAGGATTGAAAGAAGGAAAAAGGAAAACTGACCCAAACAGCTTTCAACTACCCTTCTTAGCCACACGAGGAAGCTACTGGAAAGACTCGTGAACCAGCTTATCTGGCTACTTGAAAAAAATGACCTCAGTTTCTGAACAGGCAGGCTCCTGCAGATTTTGATCTACTGAGGATCAAGTTGCCTACATCGCCCAAAAATACAGAGGACTGATTTCACGTTGTCAGAGGAACACACGTTGGCAGTCTGGATTGACCTAGAAAAGGCATTAGATAAGGTATGGACTGAAGGCTTAATCTTAAAAGTTGCCAACAAGGGTATCAATGGGAAAGCCTTCATATGGCTTAATTATTATTTGAAGGATTGGAAAGCGTTATCTCAGATAATATAAGAAGCCGTGCAAGGAAATTTGAAAATGGCGGGCCTCAGGGAGGAGTACTTTCTCCATTGCTTTTCCTAATATTTATAAACAATATTATTCAAGACTTACCAAATAATTTCAAAGCTGTTAGCAGACAATATCACCCTCTGAAGTAGATTATCTTTCATTCTCACAGCAAAGAACAGACTGCAAATGGCCCTCGACAATCTCTGTCAGTTGACCGAAAAATGGGCCATGACTATTAATCGGACCAAGACTAAATATTCAATCTTTAGGTCCTCAACAAACATACTGGTTGCCCTTAACCTAAATCTTAATCAAGACAAGCTAGCCAAGGATGGAACCCCCACTTACCTTGGTATTGAATTTGACAAAGACTTCCTCCAACATAAAATAACAAGAAAGACTCGTGGACTCAAGTATAGAACAGTGGGGCCGGTATCCATTTACAATTTTCTGTGGGGAATATTATTGAGAAGGCTGTTGCAACGGGCATCACCTCTTCGAATTATCGTGCAGAGCAAGAAGTTAGCTGTGAGGCATCGAAACTGATAAGAATACTAAAAAGACCTGAAAACTCAAAAATTGTATTCCTTACTGATACAGCGTCAGTGTTGCAATCACTCAGGTCAAGGAGAGCAAAAGCCTAAGAAAACTTGCCAAAGATCTTGAAGACTTGATGTCCTTTCACAAAAAAGTTGCCCTATAATGGATCCCAGGACATTGCGGCCTCTCTGGAAACGAAAGGGCAGACCAACTGGCAATGAAGTCGCCCTTGAGTATGTAGTTTGACTTAAAATCAGCCTAGACGAGATTAAAACAATTAATAAAGCTAATATTAACCAACGTTGGCTCCAAAGAAATCCACTTCTAGACCCCAGAGATGCTATCTATGGACTGAATTGATGAGAGCAGGACTTAATCTTTGGCTTGTAGACTGCGCACAACAGGCTTACCTGATCAGTAAGTTCATAATTGGCTCTAGTCCCCGCTGTGAGTGCAGTGAGGGTGAACAGAATGTGGAATGTATACTGCAAATGTGCAGGATCTACTCCTAGCAAAGGAGAGTGATCTGGTCCTCTCCAACTGAAGTGGAAAGAAAGCTATATGGAAGCCTAGAGGACCTGAGCAGGACTACCGAATTCTCCATTTTAGTTCCTGACCTAGCCATAAAAGGAAAAATGCAGGAGAAGAATAATTGAAGAAATTCCATACTCTACTAAGTTGCAAGAAGTGGAATAGAATTAACAATGACTCAGGTAAAGAAAAATTGAATCGTATTTATAGTTTAGCTTTTATGAAGATCTATGATTTAAGTTGATATATCAGAAAAATATATTTAAAAAAAAAAGATACATGAAATGAATGTTTCATTTACGTTGACTGAGTAACAATAAACATATTATACTTACTATGAATAGATATAGTAAACAAATAATGTAAAAGTAAATTATATTTCTTGTTACAACAATATTATTCTTTTCGAAGTAATGATATTCATAGGGAAGAACATAAAAAACAACTACTTTCAAAAATTAAATTAATAATTAATAGAAATTAAAAAATAAGCATTAAAATTAATTTTCAAATTGTGTAGATACCTCACTCCACAGAGGATGAGAAGTAGCACTATCTAATGATGGAGGTGGTTCTGTCATTGAAGACTGTCTCAGGAGCTCACGGAGAGCAACTTCCTCTTCAATGCGTTCTAAACCTGTCTCGACAGCATCATAAAATTCTTCATCCCCTAGTGTACTATGAGGGCCTTCCTGTCATGTTTCAACATACTTTAATAAAAAAGTAAATAAATACTAAAATTTACAAAGAAATAATTAAATTTTGATTAATATAGGTAAACATGTTTCTCAAATGTTTTTAAATTTTCTTTATAAAATACTATATAAATAATCATGGTTAATAGAGGAGTATTAATAAAAAAAATATTTCCAATAATTAATAAATTGAACAAATAAAACTACACAATTTTACTTACTGTTTAGATAATTATTCTTTTGAGAGGTAATTAATTTTCCTAATTAAAAATTTAGGTACAATATTTCTGAAAATGCAAAGCTAAAGATGAAAAAAAAAAAAAATTTAATTGTATTAAAGTAATAAAATATAGAGGAGTTGTATTAATGGACGGTACTATATTACCTGATTTAAACAGGAGTCTACATGGATTAATCTTTACTAAATTTAGATGAAATTTAGCAGCATCAAGAAAAAGTAGGAGAGAGAAGAAAAGAAAATCCATTTCATAGAGGAGTTCATAGGTTGACTGCCATAACTATTTTATTGGAATATTGTTTTAAGGTTTAAAGGAATAAAAATGGGAAAGTGAATGTAAGATAATGTCCCTTTAATAGGATGAACAAGGGATGAATTGCGAAAAACTAACTAGGTTTCCTGTTAACTACACGGCTTTATAGAACACATAAGCTACAACAAAATGGGGGAAAAAGAAGTGTCAGTATTCCTTTTCTTTCAGTCTTAGAGCATACACCATTATGGAAAAGTTTTCAAAACTGTTAAAGAGTTAGCAATGGTTGCTATAATTTATGATATGAAGAAAATGTAAACTGATTCCAGAGGCATTGATGAAAAAATAAAGTAAAGAAGAGTTTGCCACCTTTTATCAGGAATTGATTGATGATAAAATAAAGTTCCCTAAATACTTTACAATAAGTGAGAAAATTGGAAGACAGTTTAAAGAAGTAACACACCAAAAGAAAGATTAACAGTGTGTTCAAGGAGCATAATAATAATAGCTTGAAACATTACTTTTTTTAAACGAGGATTTTTTTGAACTTACACCAGTGTCTGAAAACTCCATGATCCAAAAATAGGAAACCACAACAAGAAATCACTAAAACAATACACACTTTAACTGAAAAAACACATTTCTAAACTCAAAATAATCCTGTTTCTTTACTATAATTTAAAGACTTTAACACCGTCAAGAAAGGATTCCTGGAAAGGAAAAAACTAAATGTAAGACCAGCTGAAACTGTGATAGAGGAAAATAGTTTGAGAAGATTTGGTCATGTCTCTTGAATGCTAAAGAGCCGTCGTGGCCAGGATTGCGCTGAAAAGTAAAGTTAAGAGAAGAAGACCTCAGGAAGGCCAAGGAAGACTTGGGAGGTCAGTGTCAAGGAGGCCTTTGACAGAAGGGATATTGACTGGAGGAGGAGGCGGCAGTTCGCCCAGGATAGAGTTGTGGATCGGGTCTACAATAACGCTCCTCACACAGCTCAGCAGTAGAAGAAGAAACAATTAACAAGAAGAGCAGAAGAATTTAAAGACTTATAAGAAATAGACAAATAAACAGTAACAAAAGCTTTTATACCAATTAATAAATTATTTATTCAATTATACGATACATATGGTTTTATCGTGTTTATACACTACATTATATATTATGCACTGACTGTAATTTAATTTCAATTATATATTTTATGTAGGTTTTTTCTAATGTTTGCAGTGATTTCTTTCTTCTGTTTACTAAACACATCATTATTATAACAAATATAAAATAATCAAAATAATCTACAAGCATGTAAACATTATTATGATGTGATGCATAAAAAAATTGTTAAACTTGCCATTAACATTTATTTATTATTGCTTGACACAACTATAATTTATTGATAACAGTTTAAAAAGATTTCATTTGCAATAAAATTTAAATATTTATCAACAGTAGGCATCAGATTTAATTTTTTAATGAACTCTCCATGTATTCAGAATAGAAGGTATGTAATTTTATAGTAATAATCCAAATTTAGATGTATACTTATATGGTAAATAAGTTTACACAGGATATATTTTTAATTAATCAAGAACATTATTAATTTATAATAGTTATATAAAATAGTAGGTGAATAAAAAAGGTTTTTGAATGTAATATTTCAAAATGAAAAAGAATCAACAGCCAACAAATTTATTCATAACTAATTATAACTTTCAGGTAACTTACTTCCTGAACTGAAACATCTCTAGTATTCTTTTGATGCCTTGAAAGGAGACAGAAATAGTGACGGCATGGTGGAGTTCTACGTGAGAGGGTATAAGGATAAACAATTTGTCTCATATTTAAAAGTTGATAATAGGAGGTTTTATAGGCTGGATTTCGGATTGGTTTTATAGGAAGGACCTGAGGAAATAACAGTTAGGCAAAAATTATTTATAATTCAGTTAGTATTGAAAATAAGAAAATAAAAGATTACACATTATATTACAAAAAGTAATTTCAGCTTTTAAAAACATGAATTATGCAATATAATAATGGAATTCATTAACAGAAAATAAAAAAGAAAGGAGGCACTAAAAAAAGCTAGACAAACATACATGTAACAACTTTCAGTTGTTGGTTCCTAGGGTATAAAATCATGAAAAAAATAAGACAAGTATAAAATTTCACAACCCTTTATTTTACTTAACACTTCCATTACCTTTGCAATATATCATGTTAGTAGTTAACCTTATTATATTACACAGAAAAAACATATTCATCCAATAACTCATACCAAATAATAAATAAAACGGACACTTGTCCCTTATTATACACTCTATAGACGGGGAAAACAGATACAATTGAATATGTAAACATACAAGGTATCTAAAGACAGAAAATACTGAGAAACTTGAGAATTTCACCCAATTTTAAGAGAAAATAAAATAAAAAAATAGTCCCAAACAATTTTTCGCTTCCAAACTACTGAAGGTATAGAAGCTTTGTAATTATATGGAAGGTAAGAAAAAGTTGTGCTTTGATTCAAAAAATTCTACTTGGGTTTTACATTTTAGCCATCATGGAGCAAAGCTGGTTTCATGTCAGTAATAAAATCCATAACCAACAGGCCTAATAATTGCTGTGTCTATTTTATTAAATTGATTACTGCTACTTTTGTTACGTATTTCCTTAGATGCACTAATATTTCAAAAATTGATCATTCTATTTGGTTCAAAGTTAGAGGAAAGTTAAGTATTAGTGAAAAAAAAAAATCAATAAGCATCAGAGTTTTATCTTAGTCCATCCACTATTTTATCTTATGGATGTGTAAACAATCTTTCACTGATAAGCCTATACTTAAAAATCACCTACTAACCAAAAATGCAGGAACGCTAGGGATTAGTGAATGATCCATGATGAATAAATGATGATGATCCAATATCAATGAAGATGATCCAGTACGAATTTTATCAAATTCCATCCCCTACCTCTACGGTTGTGCAAACTTATTTTCCTTGATAAACTTATTTTTCAAAAATATCTCGTTTGGTTTCAACCACAGTTAGAGCTATTATGGGAAACAGTGTATAAATGGTCTTGTATCAATTTCATGATGTCTTATTTAACAAATGAACTTAATATACCAATTAAGAATGCAATATCAATGAAATTTGTAAGGAATGGGATGTTTTATTTTTAATATAGCTATAAACTTATCCCTTCAAGTTAGTGATAGTGGAATATACCAATGATTTTTGACGGTGGAGATAACTATATTTTTTTTTACATTGATGTCCTAATATTTAGACCATGTTCATCTTTGTTTTGGCTTATTATTTTTGTCATTCAGCCTTATGATAGTAAACCTATTAATAAGTAATTTGATAAAAGATTTTTATTACATTTCACCTTCTTTTCCACTTCCTTATATGGAGGGGAGGGTCAGGGAATTTAATTGAAGATAGGGAAAAGTCAGGGAATCCCACTGACAGACTCTTGTAGGCATCCTGTATACAGTAAAGCTTCAATTAACTGCCAATGCAATCACCAAGGATGTGAAAGTTAAGCGAATATATGAATAACAAAAATATTATAAGAAAATTACCTTAACCTATAAATAGCAACACACACACACACACACACACACAAACATATATATATATATATATATATATATATAAACAAAAAAAAACCTGTACCACTACAACTCATGAAGGGTCTTGGGTTCAGTACTAATTAGGGAAAGCACTGTTTTTAGGTCAATGATTGTGCAAGGAGGTGATTTGACCAAGATCACGCTCAACCGCCAGGTTTTCCCCCTTAATCAATTATTTAATTAAGGGTACCCACTTTATAGAGGCTGGGTGTGCCCCAGGATGGTCTCCTGACCCAGGGTCGCCCCACGGCCAATGAAACAGATAAATAAATTTTCTGCCATGAGCCCGGGTTCGAACTTAGGATCTTCAGCATTGGAAGCTTAGTACTCTACCACTGAGCTACCCCACCCCCGATATATATAGCATTTCCAAGTCAATTTCAACCTTTTCCAAGTCAAATTCAACCTTTTCCAAATCAAATTAAACTTTTTCCAAGTCAAATTCAACCTTTTCCATTTCAAATTAAACCTTTTCCATTTCAAATTCAACCTTTTTTTATTTATTTAATTATCTTTAATTTTTCGATGTGTGGGTCTGTTATCGTATGAGTAGTTTTTGATAATAACCTCCTTTTTAAGATTACGTGACTGAGTTTCGAATTATTTAAGTTTTTTTTTAATTATTCGATATAAGGGTGTATTTTTATGTCTCTCGATCAGTAAATTTTGAAAATGACATCCATTTTATGTTCACGCCACTGTGTTTTGATTTATTTAAGTTTTTAGAATTTATCCAATATAAAGGTCTACTTTTATGTTTCTGGAGCCGTAGATTTTGAAAACGACCTCCATTTTAAGATTAGGCCACCGCGTTTCGACTTATTTGAGTTTTTCGGATATTTTTCATATGAGGGTGTATTTTTATGTTTCCGGAGCTG